ACACACACACACACACACATAAAATAGAATACACACTTTTAATTACAGACACGCACATCTGGCTCAGAGGCATCTGCTGGTTTAACATGTGGCTAAAACACAGCTGTACCTTCAGTATTTCACTGGTGTCCTGGTGGATGTTAACAGGCTCATCACATACAAACTTCTACATTTTTGAAGTGTGTGACAGATTTCTAGATCATTTTTAACTTTGTTCCACAGACTGAAACACATCGTGTTCACTTCAGGGTCTTTCATTTCCTCTGGCTCTTTGCTGCTGGATGGCAACATTTTGATGTGTGGCTCCCTCTAATGGTAAAACCAGTATTACACAAATCAAACCTGTCAGAGATTTTTAGCAGACGGACCTGAGGCACTATTCTGAAAATCCTACGTCACCTTGTTCTAAAGTTATGACGTTCACACCGCGTAATTTACATGTGAGCACTAAACCTAAATAATTAATTAAAAAATGTTTTTGATACATTTAACTAATTGTCTATTTATTTCACATTTTAATTAATCATTGCCACATTTAATTAATTATTTAATGGTGTATTTAATTAATTCATTATGGCAGTCCTGGCATTCCATAGTTTATCACTAAGCAATTTGTTAATATGTGTTTCCAGCCAAATCGTTGGGATGCGCATGACAGACAGATTGCGCGAGCTGCGGGTCTTGAACTTTCTAAGGGAAAAAAAGACTTTCTCACGGCCGGTGACAGCGAAGCGGATAACAGTCTTCAGTAGTGATGGGATTTCCGGCTCATTTTAGAGAACCAGCTCTTTCGGCTCCGAACCGGCTCTTCGGGTTGTTTTGTTGCTTTAATTAATTTATTATTAACGATAATATAAAATTATGCACAAAAGGAATTACTAATGCAAAAAAAGTGGTTTTATTTATATATGTTTATATATAAATGGCACAGCAATGTTGCTGATGAATGATCACCATAAGGGTGGGATATCATCAAATTGATGATTACCTGTCTCTCTACAATATGGAAGCTCCTTTCAGGTATCATAGCTACCAAGCTGAATACCCACATGAATCAATACATGAGCACACCAGCAGGTCAAAGCACCAGCTCCTGGATGAGAGAGCAGTACAACAGGACTCTTAGATCAGGCAGAGGAACCTGACCTGAGCACTGCCTGG